CAGCCATTTTGACATGATATAGTTAAACGCAGATGTTACCAATAAAACTAATTAAGTAAAACCATCGTAACACCTGTGTTTAACCTACTATTTCATGTCAAAATGGCTGCAGTGAAAAAGTTATATTGTCACCTAACGTCTATGTTGCCTCTGGCTCATGTTTTGGCTTTCAGCCCACACATTAATTGTGATATCAGCATAATTCCTGTTTACATTTTCTTGGCCAGAGAGAAGAAGGTCGTTGACCTGTGCAACTCCCAACAAAAAAACTACAGCACATTTGCAGATGAACTGTCAGATTACATTCAGGTTCAGAAGGCTCGTGGACTCACCCCTAAGACTGGTCAAGCTCATGCTCTGGCTGACGAGGATGAGGAAGATGAAGAAGAAGAGCAAGTATTAAACAAGGGTGACAACATAGAACTGAACAGACCTGTTCCCAACTTCCCTCCCACCTCTAACACTCCTCATCACTCCCGCCTTGGTTGTTACAACCCAGCTGAACGGTGGCATCCTCCATATCAGGACCCCCCTTGGCCATCCCACGGCTTGGATTACAAGTGCCCTCCTCTAGTCCTTCCAGGCCCAGGCTCCCCACTGTTCACTAGTCGGCCCTTAAAGAGAAGGAGGCGCAGAAAGCAGTCAAGCTCCTCCTCATATATTACCTCATCATCCTATTCCTCCTCGTATTCCTCCTCCTATAGCAGTAGCACAAGTGACAGTGATAATGAAAACAGGCGCAGAAAAAAGAGGAGGATTAGAAGATCCAGGAGGGAGAGAGACAAGAAGGCAAGAGATGAGGACTCAGACAAAGATGAGAAGAGGAGAAAGCAGTGGAGGAGGGAAAGAGATAAGGAGTCAGAGGAGAGGAGAAAGGGGGAATCCGGAGAGTCAGAGGAAGAGAGGAGGAGAAAAAAGTTTAAAAATCATGGCAAGCGGAGAAAACGAGATAAGAAATCCCGAGTGGAGGACTTTGAGGCAGTAGGAGGGGAAAGGGTGATGGACAATTTAATGGCAGAAGATATGACGGACAATAGAAAAGAAACTGAAGTGCATATTCAGGCTGAAATGAACGTTGAGCAAGGGGATGGTGGACAGGATGGGCCAGCTAAATCCAAACATAGGAAAGAGAAGAAGAAAACGAAAGAGAAAATAGATACTAGGACAGAAGAGGAGAAGCTGTGGGACGACTCCATTCTAGGCTGTTAAACTCAAACGGCCCAGTTTAACTAGTCTTTTGAACTGCTGATATTTAGGCACAACATGAAGTGAACACACGCATGACATTGGAAATCTCAAACTGTACATTAACATAATCTTTATAGCCATTAACAAAGCAGTTTTTACTCTCTGCACTGACAGCCCAAATGTGTTCTCTGTAGGTGTGCTAGCTGGCTAGCCATGTTTAGTCAATTTGTGTTTGTAAGGAATGAATGGATTCCTCTTATTTCAGAGTGTTTGGAGAGGTTTCTCACACATATCTACATCTATAATAGCTTTATTTTTCACTATGACACTTAATAGGTCTTTGTTGAATTATTTTGCACATTGTTAATAATTGTTCCCTGTAAAATTTAAGATTCTTTTATTTTCTTGCCTATCATTTGAAATGATGAAGTCCTTTTGACCTCTAATACATTAATAAGTTAAATTATGTTTCTGTGCTTCTGACAAGGATTTGATAGATTGTGAACCCTGTGGCAGCCTGCGGTTGGCGCTGTTGAGCTTCATTCAGAGCACCAGTAAAGCAAATAAAAGCCCATAGATGTTAGCAGCTTCGTCATTTCATTTCTTTTGAAGTGCTGTGTGCTTTCACTCAGAAGCACACTGAAATACAGCTATTAGAGATGTAGAGAGCATGTAGAGCGCATGTTGGACTGAATAATGATGAAGCTGTAACAAATTCTTTGCCTGTTGCACAAACCGCAGCGCATCCAAACAATTTTAAACAGTTGTGTGCTCAGACATTGCCCTAGTCTACAGTGCAGTGTCTGCATGTGCATGTTTCATGGATGTATCGTCTCATCCAAACAGCACATCAAGTGTTTGGGGTCAGACAGGTGCAAGAGATCAAATGAGGACAGCTCTTTAAAAAACTTCAGATTCGTGTTGAAATGCAGTCTGTGAGGAATTGAACAAAGGTTTATGGTACTTAAAGGTGACTGAAAAGAGACAAAGTAAATATCTTAATTCAACAGTCTTCCTGACTAATAAAGAGCCACTCAAACAACAGTTGTTTGAAATGGTCTAGTATAAAAACCTAAGCTAGGTGGTTTGTGGACCACATTGCAACTTTTATCAGTTTTGCAAATTTTTTCCTTAGACAGCACTATACAGTGGGCTAGTTTGGCTTTACTAAAAACTAGATTTCTAGAAGAAGATTTCAGGTCTGCAGGCACTATGGATACTGAGAACAGACTGAAGTGGTGATTTAACATGTACAAACTACTCTTGATTCAGGCTCAATGAAAACCTGGTAAACTAACCCAGAGATTAAATATCCTTAAAGGAAAGTCCTATTTTTTATTACATTACTTATTTGTTTAAGATGTTTTTGATGTACAGTATATCAGCTAACTTTGAAGTCTGGCTTTTGTTTGGTTGATTGCTGTATATCAGATATTGGATTGCATTAGGATCCTTAGTGCAGAATGGTGCACATTATGTGGCTTGTTGCAACAGGAGAACAGAGTATCACAAGAATCCAGACAGTAGTGTTGTAAATCAAAAACATGCATGAAACAGCTTGCTAGTGTTTTTATTAGAGCCAACTAATTGCTGAGAAGACTTCAATGCCAGATTGATTACTTTTTGAGGTACCAGTGTTGTACAAATGATAGAACAGTTAATATAGTTAACTACAGAAGTTCTGTAAAGGCCGTAAGATAAAAAGTTTCTTTAGTGAGAACCAAACAAACCTCTGAATCTGTGACATACAGTAACATGCACATGAAGTTAGTGTGTTGTCTGAAAATACTCAACTTTTAACAAAAAAGGTTGGTGGGGGGAGTAGAGAGATTAAGTAAGAGGCAAACTTCTCAGCAGGCAGCTTTTGACTTAAAGCGTCGGAGTAGAGAGACCAACAAAGGCGTTATAGCTCAGCTATGTGTAAAGAACAGCTCTGAAGCCCCCTGAGACCTCCTGTTTTCAAAGAATCCTGTGGTCTCGTTCCCTGTCTCGCTCGGGTCTTCGACCCCCCGTAGAGCGGTAGGGTTCCCACATCCTCTCGCTTTGAGACCCCCACCAGACTGTTCTACGCCCTAACCTTTCACACACACACACACACACACACACACACAAAACAAAACAACGCAGAGACAGAACAGTCCACAGACACCACTCAGAAGATTTAAGAGCTCATCAGTTTTATCAAGGAAAATATAGCTTCTAGGGATAATCTGTCTTTTGAACAGTCAGTCCTCATTTTAGAATGGCTGTCCCCAAAATACAATATAAATCACAACTGGTGGGATATATTACCTTTAATATGGAGTAAAGTAAATTAGGGTTTTAAGTAAGATAGATCAACTGCAAGGAAATCTCAAGTGCTTCTTTGACACTTTACAGTGCGGTGTACCTCCACAGGTCGTTGCTGCTCATAAATGGTAATGTCACTCGGACAGTCTTTAGGTGTGATTGATGAGGTTGATAAAACGAGTACAGTGTATCTTATCAGCCTTATTGTTTGAAATATCCACTAACTGTAACAAACCAAAACTATTCATTACAAAGATAATCAATTATTTTATAGAAAACAGATTTTCATTCATAAAAAAAAAAAAAAAAAAATCCTTATTTCTAGCTATCCAAATGTTATTATATCCTTTTTTTCATCATAAATTAAGTTCCTTCGGTTACTGGACTGATATCTGACAAAACAACTTGAAGATGTCACCTTATGCTCTTGGAAACTGCAAAGGCCATTTTCTTCTCTGTTTTCACACATTTTATAGACTTAATAATTAATCAATTAATAGACAATTATCCAATGCTGAAAAGAATTGATAGTTGCAGCACAAATTGACTCATTCCAAAGTCAGATTTGTCTAAAAGTGAACCATTGCTGTCGTCTTTTCATGTGTCGTGTCGTGTCGTGTCGTGTCTGTAACTGCCGGATGATGTTTAACTCACATGCCAGTTAGTCCGTCACCCCGCATTGTCACTTAGGATAGAGTGAAGACATTCTGCTACATTTTATCTATTTAATCTTCTATGTTTTTTGAATTTTTAGAAACTAAATGTCTCAATTTCTTTTTGTTTTTTTGTAATCTAAGCTTTCATATGACAAGAAAGAAACTAGTTCAGTTCGTTAAAATAACAGAAATATATTCAGTCCCAATGTCAGAATGAATGATTTCACTATTCAACTGTTTTATTCAATTTCTCAGTCTGTCACAAACAAATATCCCCAGGTTTTGCTTTGTCAAGGAGTGTCTTCATACACTTTATACCCCAAGTTATAAAAAAGAACTGAAGAAGCTGCTTACACACACCAGACGATATTTTGCAATAATCTACAGCATTGTAGATCAGGGTTTGAATCACTGATCCTTCATTTCCACTTAATACCTTATGTATCGGCTCCACACATTGGTATTCCCTTTCCGTGCTCTGCAGTGAAGCATGAAGCAGCGTATGTAGGACTCTGCTGAGCTCTAGGTCACGCACCTGGGCAGCGACCACAGCACTGCAAACAGCTGCTCTGGCAATATACAACTTTCTTATTGCTTGATATGTTGCATCATGTCAGCTGTTTGTCATGATCAGTGTATGTTGTACTGCATCTTTCTCCTGAACAACCCACCTGTCTGAGGTTATTTGTTGGGTATATACCTTTTAAGTGAACACAGTCGAGAAAGCCTGAATTAGACAATTAGCATTTCTTTATGCTTTATATATGATACCCTTTCTGGCAGTTATGTTTTAGACACATTTTCAGTAGTGTGTGTGTGTGTGTGTGTGTGTGTGTGTGTGTGTGTGTGTGTAAGCCCCTTGGCTGACTTATGGCCCACTCTGATAGGCCCTGTGTGTGTCACATTGGGGTGTTACCTTGACTACTCAGGGCCCCGTCGTCTCAGTTCCTCCCATCATCTCTGACAGATAGATAGCAGGAAAAGAAAGTATCAGCTCCGTCCCTCAGCTACCACTCAAAACTCACACAGCCGTACAGATACTGGCGACCGGACAAAATGATCCCACTGCCGGCATGGATGCTGTTGATAGTATTGCTGAGGACAGGATCAGGTAAGACCACTACATTTCTCTGTTTGTTGTTTTTATGTTGTTGTTAGACTCCAGCATTCTCAACATCATAACTTAGTCAGGGGCCTGTAGCGAGGGGTGTGTTGTTGTTTACTTAAACTGAAGCTTGTCTGATGTTTAACTTGACTAACGTTACTACAGTCATCACATTCAGTCCTAACAATAGTTTGTGCTGAAAGGTAAAATTTGTCTTTAATAGTTCAACATATGAGACAGACAGATCAAGTACAATGCCGTGGCCTTCGGTTCATTTAGTTAAAACTGTAATGGCAGCCTTCAAGAGTACTATAATTATATATCTTAGAATTGTACAGCTATACTGGTATAAGTTATTAATACTGTTATGTAATTAGAGCAATATAATATGTACAATCTGGATTAAGGGTTTAGTGATGGTAAATTATGAGGGTAACAATATACTACCTGTTTGCGTTCTGCTGTAGGTTTATATAAATTAAAATTTTATAAATACATTTAATTTATGATTTTTTTTCTTTATTGTATCTCCATCAAGGCTTTGAAAATAATCGTATTCGTACTGTATAGCGCAACTAATTTGATAAAGACTAAATCGATTTGGTGCATTATTGAATGTCGCCTTAACCTTTCCACACTGGAGACCTTTGAATGTTTGCTTATATTTAGATATTTCAAGACTAGTGATTGCAACAGGCATATGCCGACAGGCCTGACTTAAAAATGCACAAAATAGGCATTGGAACTGATAAAAACAGATGAAATAGCTCTTCCAGTGAAGGCATCCCTTCAACATTGCATGAATGCTAAATCTCTCCTCACGTAGCAATTTCAAAATGTCACCTTCACAGAGTTTGAAATATGTACAAGAAGTTTCTTCATAGTTTGGCTGTATTTCCATTCTTGCATCACTTAGGTGATAGTTGCTGTGTTTCTATACCATATTGCTAGTTACATTTGTACTTTCTTTTGCCTAAAGTTGAAGTACGATTAGTTGGATGTGGCTTTTAATTTGCAATTAATCTTAATTTTTTTTAAGCACGAGAGACATTCACTGTTGCTTAACGGTTTTCCTCAAACCTGTATAAACACTAAGCGATTGACAAGTTGACCTGAAACATCAAATCAAGACTTTTGACCCTTTTGAGAAAATACACAATTCTTGGGAGTATGGGTTTTGACTTTGTTGAAGTGTTTTAGAGCACCAATTCTTAATAATATGTGACTGAATCGTAGGAGTTGCTCAATGTACTACACGTGTGTGTTCTCTCTCAAACATCCCTCTGTTTTCACCCTTAGGTTCGGAAGTGATACTGCAGGAAGAAATGGCCGTCATGCTTTATCCTGAGATCCTCAGTATAGTGACTATTGATTGTTACTGCGGTACCTTCCAATGTGACACTGTCTACTGGTTCCACAGTGTTCCCGATAAAAGCAAAGTACAGTTTCTAGGAAAATGCAACAACGCAGGCCGTAGTAGCTATGAGAAAGATGTGGACCAAGCACGATTCGTATTTGAAAAGAAAGGACAAACGAACTTTGTGCTGCGCATCCGCAATGTGACAGAAAAGGACAGAGGGATGTATTCTTGTGTTCTTAAGGACAGGAAAATGGCAGAAATGTGGAAGCTTGGGACTTTCCTTCAGCCGGGAGGTTTGTATGCTTAAATCTCAAGCGTTTCGTTTACAGCAGTTAAATATCAAGCAGTTAGGAGCATTTTGGTACGTCTCTCCGATTTCAGGTTGTAGACTGAGGACTTAATTATTAAAGGGGCTAAATTCCTGATTCAAACCTCTGCATTTAAATCTTGTGCAATATGACACCTAACATTATATATTAAAATGTATTGTACAATGAAGATGAGTTTGAGTTCATAAAGGTAACTTTGTCTCACACATTTTCTCATGTTTCCACAGTATGTCCCTCTGTTAACTATCCTTAAAGTTATTTATTAACAATAGTTTAAAATGTGACTATTACCTCATTGGATTCTGTGTTTATTGCTTTTGAATTATTGGTTGTGGATTACAACCACATATAGTTAGTGGACATTCAGTGGTTCTCAACCTTTTTTGGTGTCAATGACCCTCAAATTGATACACATCAGGCTGCGGACCCGTATTTGATATGATTAAATGTAGTCTCAAGGATCCCTGTCTGATGAGATCTCATTATTCCATAACTGTGTACTGTTGATTCACAGAACTCTGAAGTCTGTGAAACTTATGAACAGAATTGTCATTCTTATACACACACTCGCTAACTTTTAGTCAATTAAATAATAGTAAAATTCTCAATTTTTCTGAAGACTCCCTCAAACTCCCTCAAGGACTCCTGATGTCCCCTGGCCCCAGGTTGAGAATCACTGCTCTAAACAACCTCAGTAGCACACAACACAGCTTTTGTTGAGACTTGTATACATGTAAGGTAACATTACATGATAAATATTATAGTTTCGATGTTACTTTGGATAGTGGTTGAGCACATCTTTTGATGGTGTTGCCTGTCTACCTGGGCGACAATAAATGAGTAAAATAAGAATTAAAAAGTTTCCAGATCATGGAAAAAAAGACAATTCCAATGGGGGAGTGTATGGTGTCTATTTAGATGCCTGTGGCAAGTTTATTCAATGTCTTTGAGCTAAAGAGAAACATATGTAGAAGAACTTTCCACTGGCCTAATAGGACTATACTGAAGAGTTACACGCACATAAACAATATACATGATGCATTTGTGGAGAGAATCAGTTGATAAGTTCCTAGTCAGGGTAACTTTTTACATATCGAAATTTCTGGATCCCCCCTTAATGTAAATATTCTTTACATCCTTGTTTTACTGCTGTTTAGTTATCACTTGTCTTTATGGTTGTTTGGGCTTTACCTGACAGTGATCCCGCCAACATTACCTCCTAAGACGGAACCCAAAAGGCCAAAGATCCCAGTCTGTCGCTGCCCTAAGAAGAATACTTCACAGGGTAAGTTATTAAGGAGTTTTCTGTGAAGTATTAGGAGCACTTGTATGTTGTGGCAATGCGTAATTTGTATGATGTTCTGCTGCTTACAAATTTAACTTTATATGTGTCTCGTGATGTATAAACACTTTAGTCTGTGACTATAGGTATTGTAACCGGGAATAAATGTTGTGCACTTCACCAGATTGTGATGATGTAAAGGCAATAAAAGAGGTAGTTTGTACAGACAATGAAATAACAGGTTGTACGGAAAGGAGTAACCATCTAATGATTGATGATATCACCTGGCTACAATGCAAGAAGCTATAATACATTTAGATAAAACCGTGTACTATATATGTTGTGTGTTTGCTCCAGATGACTGTGGCTCCCTGATTTTGTGGCCATCGGTTGGATTTATTGCGGCCCTGGCTCTTGCGCTCATCTGCACGCTGTACTACTTCAGCAGTGAGTAGTCCTCCAGTTTAGTGTGCTAGATAATGTGAAGTCAGAGAGGGAAAAGTACACCTTTCGCAGATATTTATATCAAGCAGTGCAGCAAATGGTTTGTTAAACTGTTGGATTAACTTTGATATGTAGGTGTTTGAGTAAAATAAATAAATATAAAATATTTTATCCTATTGCTGACGTGTTTTCTTTTGTTTGAATACGTTCCTGCTCGTAGGGCTACCCAAAAAATGTCGGCATCACTTTGCAAAGTAAGTATATTACTAAGATTACTGTAAATGGTGAAAAGAGCTGTTTTTTCCTTTATAATCCAGAGAAAATGTTTGGATTCTTCACATTCCTTGATTAATCTTGCTTCTGCAACCATATGTACTATAATTGACTGACACTTTAATCTTTTTTCTTTTGTTTTTCTCTATTTAGGAATAAGTATACGACCTAAAGCACTGCATCTACAGCCTATGTTTAACTCAACGTATGTACCTTATGTGTGTAATTGTATATATAAAATATGAATTGTATGCTGGATATGAAAATCTTTCATACACATTAACAGTTGCTTCTGTGATTGCAGTGGCTGAAGTGCTTCACTTGAGCGGACGTCCAGTGGACAGAGGGATATGATTCAGCTTGAAGATCTATTCTGCTAACAACATGTCGGGTTTATTTACAGTGAAATATGCACTCAGTCAGAGAAGAATTTTGTGTTTTCAACAGCAGTAAACATGTAACATATTGTACTATACATAGATTACGAGACAGCTCCAGAGCAATACCAACTTCAGATCGAGGCTATGTGATGTAACAATATTTTTGATTTATCAGTTAACAATATCCAGATAACTTCATCATTAATCAAGGTGCTTTTTCAGCTCAGCAGGTTTGTGATCAGTTGCTTTGATTTTTAGATTATTGTTAAATCAGAACAAAACAGGGTAGTGTTTCTCTCCCCAAACCTTATCTGTTTATACATAAAAGCATGTAAGCCACAAAACAGCTAAATTGAAATGAAGTATTTTCCCATTTCCCTTTTGCTCTCTTTTGTAATTGTTTGTATTTTTGTGTTTCACAGCATTTTTAAGTGTTTTCTCAATTTTTAAGAATCATCTGTTTAGAAGAAAACAGCACTGTAAAGTACATTTTTCTATTTCCATATTTCTGTTAAATCAATAAAATTGTATATTTCCAATCATTTAAAGTGATGACTCTCTATATATGGTAAAAGTTACTGTATTATCTGTTATTAAACACATCTATAAACACATTATATTTTTTACATAAATTCAGTGCCTCTGTACATACAGATTAATTCCGAAGGCACAGATTAATGATGCTTAGTGTTTGACACAGTTGCTCAAGGGCACTTTTGCAATCGCTGAATGCATCTCCAATAACTAGGGCACAGATAACTAAAAAGTCCTATGTTTCAAAGTGTTTGTAGTGTTGTCACACATCTAAAAGATTTCTGTGCAGGTGTATGAAAGAGGTTTTGGAGAGGGCGTTGTACATCGATTGCCAATATTGTGTTTAGCGGAAGTTGAGTAGGTGAGTGACAGAGTTTGGTTTCTTCTCTTACCTTTGATGCGTATACTTGCATCATATTCAGTTTCTGTTGAACTTCCTCCAGTATGTGCCAACAAGCTTTATTGTTTTAATCTTAAATTACAGGCTAAAAAGTTGTTTTATAGCGAAGTGCATATCACTTGCTTTCTGTCTCTCTCTCTCTCTCTCTCACACACACACACACACACCTGTGCGATGGAGGAGTTGAAAGAAACGACTGAGTTGGTGGTTGCTCGGGTCTCATGGAGTGTGCGCAACCCTTTCCTGTGTGCTGGAGAGAGAGGAGAGACTGAGCTGTGTTCACTGAGATGCTATCATTATACTTCAGCTTTGAGCACTTCATCTAGTCTGAAACAAAAAGACCACAAAAACACCACAGACCTAACCACAAACGCTGACAGAGAGAAACAGAGGGAGGAAGACAGAAAGAGCGGTACAGTTATAAAATGAGAATACAATGAGGATAAAACTTTAATGAAAACTTGAGACAGTATGTCATATAATACATTTCCATCACCAAATTTATTAAAATTACTATTTTGAATAATGTATGTTTGTGTGGGCAGGGTGCGGATGTATTAATTTAAATGAACATGTCAAGCACAGTTAGTTAAGTTAAGTCAAATTTTATTTATAGAGCCCAAAAGCCCAATTTGCCTGAGGGAGCTTTACAATCTATACAACGTACAACAACCTCTGTCCTAAGACCTGCGATAAGGGTCAGGAAAAACGCCCTCAAAAGAACACGTTTACCAGGGAAAAAACCTCAGGAAGAGCCACAGAAGAGGGACCCCTCCCCTAGGACGGACAGATATGCTATAGACACAACCAACAAAATCACATTACATACACATTTTGATGAATTTTGAGACACGTCAATTATAATATTAACAATTAACACTGGTTAAATTAAATTAACATCTACAATCAAAGCAAAGTAGAACAAATCTACATTCAGTTGCCAGTTTAATAGAAACAGCTACAGTCATCGGGTGGACAAAAGTACTGAACCATGTCTCAGGATAAGGCAGCATATTTTCACCAGCACCACAAAGACAGCCTCCAAAACATCTGTTATATATTATATATTATATTAGAATCTTTATGAGGGTAGGATTTATTGCAGGCCTAATGTATTAAACAAGTTTAGTATTAGCTAGCTGTGCCTAACAAACTAGCAACTGCATGTATGGTATATTATTATATTTCTGAGTCGACGTTTGAGGAAATAATTTATTCACATTCATCAATTCAAGGAAACGAGGAATCCAGATAGCAATAGTTTTGTAGGATGTTTCATACAGAGTAGTGATTTATTTTGTTTTCCGATTACAAATAGAGCAGTGCGTGTGCATAAAACACAAGACAGTGTAAAAAAATAAAACACGTGTAAAGATGGCAAACTATACACACTATATTTTGTAAAGCACTATTGTGTGTCATTTTCATTAATACACACAGTATGTATGTATGTATCATTATAGTCAAATTAAATTATCTGTTTAAAGTTTAAAACTAAAGAGAGAAAGCCTTGTGTTTATTTTTATTAATGTTTAAAGATTCAAAATGTAATAAATACACCCTATACTAATCATTGTTAAAGTTAGCTAAATTATACATGAAGGCATAAGGATTTCTCTAAAGGTATCTTGTAACTTTAATTTCTGTTACCAGATCAACAGAATACAGTCAGCTAATCTCAGAGAAACAAACATTAAAGACAGAGAAGCACAATATGTGCCAGATGTAGAACTATAGCACAGTTGCCTGTAAAAACATTTTACTGTAAGCTTTTACTTTAAAAAATCTGTTATATATGACAAAAAACCACATTCAGTACATGAAACACCATTTCACATGATAAATTCACACATAGGCTAATGTGATAATAGACAGTTTGCATGTGAAATATGGGACTTACATTGAGAAATGCTTGTTTCTCCTCAGCTTTTTTCAGCAACAAATAGTTTACAATTCACATTTATTGAAAAAATGCATATTAAAGGCAATTCACAGCATGCTGTGTGTCTGTGATCAGTTCTGTAAAATGCAGCAATTTTACATTTAAATCCATTACACTTAAATAATGCCATACCAGCATATCAGTCAGACATGTATGGTAAACATTTCTGATTTCAAATACGTAAATGTAAAGCAACAGTATTGAATCATACAAATACTATGACGTGAGACTATTAGTGGTGAAATCCTGCAGACAACTTATTGTGTGATATGTCAGCTCATGCTAGGATCAACTGTCTTAAGCTAGTAAGTAAGTACGCAGAGATATCAGAGAGATATATATAGAGATATCTATTTTTAAAGGTCAAATTTGTCACACATTATCTAATTTAACAATCAAAGCCGCTGGATGAGTACCCTGTACACAGTGTATTCACATACGATGGAACAGTGAGCCAATATTTTCAATGAATTCACCTTAGTCATCTGTTCCATGTTACATTTTTTACATTAAGAATAAAAATAATAATCCAAGCAGACATATTTGCTGACCTCAGCTCTATAGGCAAAAGTTAAAAGGGTACATTAAATACGGAAATCATTTTCCAAAACTCACATATACAAACCTGACAGGAAGTCGCAGTAAGATAAGAAAATATGAGCAAACACACATTGATGTACACACATCTGCACATGTTCAGTGTCTCCATTTCTGAGCTCTCTATTGCTACTTACTCCTCTTGTTCTTCTTGGTTTCCGTTTCACAACTCCATATCCCATAATACCTGAAACTGCCAGTACAGTGCAGAGACAGGTGAGCCAAACTGATGAAGAACTGATGAACACGCAACTGTTATTGATGCTGATTTACTGGTATTGATGGTGCTGCTTTTTTTTTGATAAGAACGTCTCTTCACAGTGTATTTGAATGTCAAGCTATGTGATGCCACTGTTCAGGGTACTCTCTTTCTCGTTGGCTTCCCCTGGTCACCCACTACATACACACACACTCACACACACACATAGCTGTAAGTTTCAGGTTGGAGACCCCCTGTGTGACTAAGATAGGGAAGCCCATGCAGGTGTGTTGTGAGTGACTCAAACCTGAAAGAGAGCTATGGAAAGGTGAGGTGGGCTAACTGAGTGTTTTGACTGGGTCTTCCCTCTAAATCAAAGCATCAACAGAATCCCCTGCTGACTGAAAACCTGAACCTGGTTTTCATCATGGTTTCATTTGAAATACATGTCAAGTTTATTTATGATAACACATTTATAATAATTAATAATAATGTTAATAATAAGCATCTGCATTTTGAGGAAATAGCATGACAGGGTAAAGAAAATGCTCTACAGCACATGCAAATGAGACACGCTATTGTATTTAATTTCCCCTCTATCTTTGTTTCTCTCTGTCTCTCTCCTCCCACCCATGGAACAGATAAATCGCCCACCAAAGAGCAAAATGTCAGCATTTGTTGCCCATTACATATATTGGTGCGTTTACTTTCCATCACTGAACAGGAAATAGGACGGGGCCTGGGTTACGCCACAGCCGGTGTAGCTCTCTCAGTTGATCTGAAGAAAGTTTCACTTTCCTTCAAGAGTAGTATTCAGTTCCTTTATATCACACTGAAATTACTCCACTCCAAGTAAAAAATCTTGTCGTCAGAACCTTAGTTAAGTCAAAAGTACTGAAGTATTATCAGAAAAATGTACCTAAGTAATAGTACTCATTATGCAAAAATATTTCTGTCAGTGTTTTACTATTAGATATAATGTTTTAGGATTAATATTACTGCTGCGGTAATGTGTATTAATTTAGCGAATTTCTTTCAGCTGAAGATAGAAAAGAGGGAAAGAGATGGGCCACAAGTCGGACTTGAAACCCTGGCCGCTGCAGCAAAGACCCAGCCCCAGCACATTAGGGCGCCAGCTCCACCAGGTGAGCCATTCAAGAGCCCCAAGCTGTGCTAATTTTTACAGCAATATATCATATTGTATAAGATCATCTTATGTTTGTAGTGTCGCTGTCCTGTGAGAACCACACGTCTCTAAAAAGTCAGCAGCCCTGTTTTCAGCTTTGTGACAATGCTTTTTCAGCTAATCCAGTTTTAAATAGTTTATTTAGCTTAGAAATAAAATAATTTTCTCAAGGAAAACACATAACATTACAAAACATAAATTATAAATAATGCAAATACAACAAATTTGGATAAGACTGGAGGGTAATCTGTAAAGTACTATTAACTGCAGCTGTCAGGTTAATGTAGCGGAGTAAAAAGTATGTATTCCCCTCTCAGATGTACTGAAGTATAAAAATAAAGCTGCTCTGGCCCTGGCTCCCCGTGTACAAAGGCTGGGTCCTTGCTGCAGCGGCTATGGGTTTGACTTCGACCTGTGACCCTTTGTTGCATGTCATCCCCCCTCTCTCTCTCTCTCTCTCTCTCTCCCCCCTTTCCTGTCACCCTTCAGCTGTCTCTATCAATTAAAGGCAATAATATAATATAATATAATATAATATATATATATATACTGCATAAAAGGGATTAACAAAGTATCTTGAATTTGTACTTAAGTAAAGCACTTAAGTAAAAGTAGTTCCACCACTGTTTAGCAGTTCAATACAGCTTTACATGAGTCAGTGTTTCTGCTAAAAACACCATCAGAGTTGTTTGAGGTGAAATCAGTTTGAGGCCCATTTTACACTGCGACTTCTCTCACTGTGAATTGCAAATCATAAAAAAGAAAATGGGACATTTAATTACTGTTTGAACATTGACAGAGCTCTAAATGCTGCTTTTGCTGCCATCTAGCTGTTTAAATGTTCACCTTGCTGCAGTGATGTAACACTAACAGGGATACATTATGTGTTTTATTTAGCATGCCATTGTTGTGCTTTAAATTGTTTAAAGCGATGCTAAAATTTGACAAGTGTATTTTAATGATGCCTATCGGATTGATATAATGAGTATAACTAGACTTAACCAATGGTGGAATGTAACTGCTCTTTAATTTCATAAAGGCCCTTCTAGGGACAGGTGTTGTGAATTATTATTATTATTATTATTTATTTTATTTCAACAGGGACAGTGCACAATAAAACATTAACCCTGTATATAACAAGGAGAGATGCATTGCACCAGGTTTTAGCAAATTGCTATTTTCCACCCGTAGTCCCATGGCAGGTAGATGGAACATACAATAAATTAAAAACAGTTACTAAATTCACAGTTCTGCAAAATTTCAATTACAAAGTTATGAATACACACATTCCCACATCATTAAAACAATTTACCCCCCTCCCACCAACTTTTATAAATAAATATGCCCCCCCCATCAAAAAAAATGTCTACAAGTTTGCTGTGACAGCATCCAACGTTTTGTGTGACATGAAAATGTTTTAAAATCCACACATGTAATCAGCTCTGTTGGAAGTGTGTTCCATTGATTTGTGGCAACAAAAGAAAAAGATAATTTACCAAATGATGTCCTGCGTTTAGGAATACTGCACTCTCCCCTGGTAACTGATCGGGTAGCTCTTGTTGTTGTTTCTGAGCAGAGTGTAACCATTTTTTCAAAGGAGGAGCAGTAGCATTATGAATTTTAAACAGTAGGCATACATTTGTGTGCATTATTAGATTTTCAAGATTTAAAATACTTTATTTGGTGAGTATATGACAGTGATGATACTGACGTGCTTTTTTGTCATGAATCTTAAGGGCACTTTTATATAATGATTCAAGTGGTTTTAAGGCTGTTTTACATGCCTGAGACCAACTTGTCATGCAATAGAAAAGATGTGGGAGAATCATTGCATTTAAATATGTATGTGATGCTTCAACAGTAAGAGAGTTTCTTATGTGTCTGTAGTTTATGAGGTTAAATTTCAGTGTGTTACTCAGCTTTTTAACATGATTTTTAAAACTAAGAGTTTGATCAAGGGAACCCCCTAAATATTTGAATTCATCCACATCTTTGTCATCTTGTAATCACAAGGTGCTGCACAGCTCCAATGTGCCTCCCTTAATGATCAGTTACAGTTAGGTGCCATCACAGCAGCCACTTTATGAAACAGAGGATTTGAAAACGATCCACTATAATCCAAATCCTTATTCACAGTTTCACAGCTCAGTCAGACAGCTCTTTAGCTTCCTCTTTTCCCCGATTAAAGGTCACTTAGTTAACTTCACTCCCTAACTATTATTGTTATTGTTATTGTATATTGTATTTTCACTTTTACCTAAGTAAAATATCTGAGCCAGCACCACTGCTCTTAACTGATTATTACTTAAAATACAGTCTGTAAGCTTGTCACAAACTGGCCCAGAGTAAGTGACAAAAATAGAATATATATTTATAGATAGAATAGAATAAAACAATATATTAGTAAGAACCTCTATGTCTCTCAAAAAAATAGACATAGAAGTAGAGAAGTGGAGAAGAGTGGTAGAGTTGTGTCTGTGTCAAGTGGGCTGCTATGCAGACTTAATAACATGCTTTGTGCGTAGTTTTTACACTTCCTACTCATTGCCACCCCACATAATGTCGGTATCTTGTAGATGCAGTCGGGTTGTTCGATTCTTCACACCAGAGGCAGAGGTATGAAGTGCAGATCGGTGGGCTCCACTTCAAACATTTTGCACACCACGACCGCGCTGCAGGAGGTCTCTGCAACACTGCTCTGCAATGATCTCATTTGATACAGCAGAGAAGAAGGTTACAGGTGGGGCGTGGTTTGATATCTCACTCAATTATCTCCTAGCAGGCTTCAGCAAACATCACAAAGACTCGTTTAGGAGCTATTGTCATCTGCAAGATTAAAATGGACCAAAAGTGGATTCATATTCTGGCGATTCTGGTGTTTTGTCTAAGTAAGTTTAACCTAAATTTTATAGATCTTTTCACTACTATGTGGCAGAGCGTTCTCTGGTCTGTTCCTTAGTCTTTAAATTTTTGGGTGGTGAATGATATTACTGCTCACATTTTATGACATCTTTTAGAGATTACTTCAGGAGCCGGTGAGGACAAAGCCACAACGGAGGGGCAGCTGGTTGAAATCCATTGTCAGTCTGGCACAGGCACCATGATCATCTGGTTTCGAGTGTTGGACAAAACTGGCATGGAATTCATTGGGTCTTTCAGCAACAATGGCGTTCTAAAGTCAACCTCATTATCTAACATCTACAGGCAAACAAAGATTAATCAGAACATCCTGATACTGCAGTCATTCAACAAAAGCCGTGACAGCGGCATTTACAGCTGTGCGTCTCTTTACAAAGGCAATGAACTAAGATTCGGCAAAATAACTCGACTGTTTGGAGGTGAGTTTTGTTCCATCAATTTGGTCTAATGATGATATGATGGATGCTTTTTACTCACACTTTCCATCACATCTTGTCTCTCTCTTAAGAAAAAGCTAAAGTACCACAGGGAGCACAAGTGCCCACCATCAAACCAACTCTATGCACAACTGCAGCTACCACGCCATGTGTGTGTAACAAGAAGGAAGGTAAATGTTCCCAATCACAACTGTGTGTAGTGAGTCCTTATCGTTTTCATATGTATGATGCTGTGAGGAGAAACAGGTGGTAAATGAACACATGCTTTGCAGAGCAAACCAATCCTGACATGTACTGTCCTCCACTCATACTGGGCCCACTGGCCGGTGGATGCGGCCTTCTTCTTCTACTCCTCATCATTACCACCCTGTACTGCAATAGTAAGTCCATCTGAGAGCTTAAACTCATAACAAAAGCCACCATGTTGCCAGTTAAATACCAGTTTGTTGTATGACATTTAATATGTAGTCCATAAAATGGACTACATATTAAATGTCTACATGCTACATATTGGAAAGCTGAAATTTGTACTTTTAAATTCTTTAGATTTTCTCCAGAAATGTTCTGTCTGTTTTAGCTGCTTTTATTGATTTAAACTTAGATCATTTTGCTGTGTGTGACAGTTTTTGACATTTTTTGATTTACTGTAGAAATAAGAACACGGAGATGCCCCCATCATTACAAAAGAAAGTAAGTCATTTATTTATTTTCATTTTAATCTAAAAGTATCTTTAGATTTAGGCCCGTAGCCAGAATTTTCCTGTACCCCCATCCCAGACACCAAGAACAAAGTTTCTGAAATGTAGTTATTTATTCAATTATTATTAATAATAATAATGAGTGAGTTAACTGTTCAGTGATATTTTCTTCCAAGTTTTAATTAATTAAACAGGCAACTCTCATAAACTCAAATGTTGTTGTTAATTGTTGTTTTTTTATAAGCATGCATCTATTTTGTATGTACATAATAATGCTGTTTATTTTTTACTCATCTTGGTTCAGCGCCTTGTTTTTAGCTGTATTTCTAGCTACCTGACAGTTCTACTAGTTCTTTTCAGTATTCTTCCCAGAAAATTAAAAGTCCGTAAAATAAAGTGTTTTTTATATGTATAATTTTACAGTACTGGTGGAGAAATACAGAATTTTTTATTTATAAAATGCAGTCTATTCAGAGTCTTCAAATTTAAACATATCATCAGCGTGTTAAAAGACTATGTTAGACTATATATATATATATATATATATATATATATATATTATATATATAAGAATATGTAGACTACAGTATATATGTATATTTAGAACACATATTCGTTTTTAACTTAAAATATAATTCCTCCCAGGTTGCAGCAGTTCATTATTATTTTTAAATACCTTGTTTATCTCATATAGGCCGCGGACGATGGCTCCTGGAAAACAAATGATGACACACAGACACGTTTAATGTAAATGGTGCCATTTTACAGACGCTTCTTCAAACTGCAATTATTTTACAGTGATGTCTTTTCATCTCGTTTACAGTTTAATGACATTCACGTTAAATATTTTACTGCCAACTTAAACAGTTTTAATTGTTCATGATAGAAAAGAAAGCGTTTAAAGGGGATTAAGAATTCAACGCGTGGAATATGTTCAAAGCTCTTTGTCTCATTGTCAACATCCAGTTTTAGCTGCATTGTGGTTTGATGGGTGCGCCATAACATTCAGACTGAACTCTTTTAATGAAATAATGTGGTATGAAAGGTCTATTCATCTAGTCCCCTTGAATGTTAATAATAGAAACCACTGACAACCTGAGAATATTAGAAGTCAGATTTATTTGTGTGCAAAAAATGTATTTAATTTTGCTTTTGTATAGATTTCATCTTCATATACAACCTGTTCTTTTGACAGAGCATTTTTAAAGCATTTACTTTCTCAGCATTGTGCCCCTACATTGATTTTTACCTACTTACTGTACTTAACTTGCTTTTAGTTTGAAAAAAATGCAGCGGGAGGATAACTTCAAATGTTGAACATTCTTTAATTTCTTTTTTTTTATGTAAGATTTTGATTAGTTTTTTTTATTTCTCCAGAGTAGCAAATGTGTTTTTTTATTTTTTTCATTTTGTAAAATTGGATGTACAATATTGTAGAGTTATCTGAATTTATATAAATAAATAAAATATAATACCACTCAGAGGCATTCTTTATCAACTGCAATTAATATACTCGTCTTTATTTATGCGTTTCTTATTTAATTTTTTTTCTTCACACGTCAAACCCACTCATTTGCATCTCCATCAGTCATTCAGGGTCTCGACACAGAAAAACTGTCTGATGTCAAGTTGGAGCGAAGTTGTTTCGTTGTAAGCCCCCCTGTACAAAAAGGAAGTGGGCTGCTACAACTGTATGCAAAGTTCAAAACCACAAAGTTAAGAGAAGTGAAAAAACATTTCAGAGGAGATTCTGTTCCCGTTTAGTTTAATACAAACACATTTCACTTGCACCTTCACGAAAACAGTGTTTATTGATTTCCGGCACATTTGAAGGCAGTCTGTGTTGGTTTGGTTTTTGCGTCTCATTTTAGGCACCGATTGTTGAGATCGGTTTTTACATATAGAAACTACACTGATCTTATTTTTACATTTTTTATTCAACTTGTATTTTATTTAATTTGTATTCCCACATCTAAAATATATCTCATTTAACTCACACCCACACAAAACCTCTGACATGGAAAAAAAAAAACTTGGGGAAAGTATATTGATTTTTGACTTTACAGTTGATAGCCCTTTCTAAATTATACAGTGTTGTCTTATATAGAGCAAAAAAATATTTTTTTTTACAGTATACAAACAAGGGCTGTTTACAAAGCTTGTAACCACCTCTGTTCACCAAGTGCACTTCAGGACACCAGCAAATTGTTTTTCTACACAGCCAAACACGTACAGACCCTTCTCTTAACAGATATTTCTCTACAGAAAGTAAAAGGCATTTGCACGAAGCTCTTGAATACAGAATTAAGCTGAACATCTCCTGGAAATCCTCCACATACCATGTAAACTATGTTTTGTCCAAAATAAAAGCAAACTAAGCTGTACACTAGTGTCTTAATGGCATGTGACCACATCACAATAGAAAACTTGGCTTTTCTGTGTACATCAAGATTGCACAAACATCCCAACACTATACACCCACTCAGTACTGCTCCCGTAAGCTAACAGCCACCATTGCTCCGACCAACGTCACAACACCACTAAGCTTGACCAATGTTGTGATACTGGTGCCATTGGAGGAACAGAGACTGTCAGTCGAGATGTACATACAGGACTCTGACGAGCAACGCCTTCCTTCCCTCGGCACGCGCAACACCAGCAACCAACAAAACAAACCATTTTCTCTTCTTTATCTCCTCTCTTGCCCCCCAGTTTCCCTGCTTTTGTTGTCTGTTCATCACTCATTCTTTCATTCTCAATCTTGTGTTAAAAAGTCTTCTTTTCATTTTCTCCAAACACAGAAACCAAAAGCTTCTCATCCTGAAATATACGTGAAAACCGAGCAAGAAAGGGGCTGCAGGCAGAGCTTGTGTGTGTGTGTGTGTGTGTGTGTGTGTGTGTGTGTGTGTGTGTGTGTGTCTGTTGAGCAAGTGTTATGGGTATGTCTAGTTTCGTCTTTCATCCAGTATACATTCTTTGACGATTTAGAAAAATATAATCATTATCCAGAGAGCAGCTCCCTCAGTGATGTGTCCCTGTGGCCGGTAGGATAAACTGCACCAACAACCTGCAACACAGGACACATTCAGCCGGTCAGTGCAAAGATGTGGACGTTTATCTTCTTCATGTTGATCTTGTTACACCTTTTATCAAGTAAAATTGTTCAAAAGATGAGAACAAACCTTACCAAGGGGTCTAGCTCTTGCCTCCCTTCTTTGTAGATGTTGGCACAACATCTGAGCTTAGCTGAGCTGATAGCTCGTCAGCAGCAGATGGCTCCTCTGCGTGGTGTTTCTGAAATACGAGGTTAAAGTTTCAAAAATATATAGAGGAAGAGAAAGAAGCAGAGCCTTTGCATGCAATAATTATACGGCTTGAATGTAATTATTTGGAGAAAATCACGAAGCAGAGACATGAGAGTGCTTCACATGCAGCTATGTGCAGACTCCACCGATAGAGAGATTCGTTTTTTTATTGAGCTTCCATTGTAAGCGCACAGATTGATTTATAATCCATTATAGTGCATTAAACAACTGAATTTAGGTCTTCATGCAGCAGGCAGTGTGCTTACTTTAGACCTTGACTTTGACTTGCTCTTGCCCTGTAACAAAGTTGGAACCTTGGTTAGGCTCAACCACATTGCTCCATGAGGCAGTGGCCACTGATAACAGTAAATGCTAGTACACAACCTATAGAGGGCGCCACGTAACAATGAAAACATCAGCAACCATACTGTTCACACTATATGCCATTAGTCAATCCCAATCACATGTCAGGCTTTACAAAGATTTAGATCTTGGATTGTATTTATCAAACTGCTAAAAGTAAAAATGTAGACATAAGGGAAAGATCAAACATTTCTTCTCACAAACTTTACACAACAAATGATCAAATTACTTTTGACTTAAAATTCTAAATGTAGCAGATGTCCAAAGGTCTTTCTCTGTCTGATTCTAGATGTCTGCAGCACAGACACAGAGGTGACTGGACACCTTCTGAGACATGTTTTGTAGTGACTGTACAAACTTTATGAATAATAATAATGTTAGCTGAAACATTATGTGCTGTATAATTCAGAATAGGAGTAAGTCACTTGATAAATTGGTCTTATTCTTCACCTCTGGCAAAGGTCTTTGCTCTTTAGACCAGTTCCTCTTTAACGTTTACTTGTGCAATAATGCCACCTAATCCTGATCTCGCACAGATCCTCTTTTTACCTTTGGTTTGTCTGTCTTCGATTTTAACTCAGAGGCATCTGGGAGCAGGGTGCCTGCCAGGGAGTCTAGGACAGGACCGGCCATTGGCTGAGGAAGAATTAAAAAAATAAATAAGAATAGGTAATAAACTTTTTAAACTAAAAGGATGAGGTGTAAGGCGTTTATGTTCATTTTCTGCATTACCTTCAGGGGGTCTGAGTCCAGCACCGGAGGTTCCAGCTTTGTTGCGGCTGCAGATGATGCGACAGGTGCAGCAGCCTTAGGAGCAGCAGAGAAATCCCCAGACAGCAGGTCTAACGCTGTTTTATCATCCATAGTCTTCTACAGAAACACAGGAAATCAAACTATCTGCATGTTTCATACATTGAGAGCATATCTTGTTTCACCGTGCCCCTCTGCTGTCATATACTGAGAGTGTGTGTGCATTGGTACCTCCTTGGGTGCTGCAGCTTCTTTCCCCTTTGCTTCTGCCATTTTCTTTAAAATGAAAGTGATAAACATTAGACACAGTAAAATTACTACTACTGTATACTGTAAAGAACCATATCCCAGGAAATACCCAGGACTCAAAGTTTAAGTCAGTTACCCATCAAAGCCTCATTCACATGTACCGACAGTAGAACAATTTCCCCATTTTCATGTGTTTTTGTGTGCCCATTTCATTAGTTAAAAATGTTTCACTGTCGTTTCTGAATATATTCTTATAGTTTCCTACAAAACTTGCGGCAACACTGTGAATCAAGCGCACAACAGCTGCTTCCGGAGTCATGCCGCATGGTTGAAAATGCTTCCAACAAATAACACTCCAGCAGGACTGATGAAGTTACGGTTATTTGAATGGACATTAACAAATAAAATACATTTAGTCTGTTAACCAGAAATAAAAAAAAATAAATAAAAACATACAGGTTCATTAATCATTGGTCACATTTCAATAATAAAGTAGTAAAGTAGTAATAATAGTGTCAGTTTACCATAAGATCTTCCTCAGTGGGTCGATACTCTGGTGGCAGTGTGTCGTCTCTCTCTCCCATTTTTATCAGCTTCTTTTCAACGGCCGCATTCTCCTGCAACAACCAGACAAATCAGGACAGGTGAAGCCACTGGTGGACTTTTTGTTTAAGCACTCTGAAACTGAAAATATTCTCATGCGGGCTATGCTCTTGAACCGCGCTGGCTACCTTGACAATGTCTTTGGTAGGGACTGGGGCGGGCTGAGGGGCGGGTGTGATATCCATTAAGGTGTCTGACAGAGCGTGCAGGGCATCGTCTGCTCCCGCTGACAGCTGAGAACACAAACACACAAAAGGGATTCTGATGGAACTGCAGGATTTTAGAGAGTCTAACTGGTCCAAAAAGGCTTGAGTTGTACATGTGCATTTACCTGCGGGGCAGTTTCTGTGGGAACACAAGCAGACTTCACTGCCGGAGCAGCTGTGGAGGCAACAAAGTCCCCTGCCAAGGCATCCAGAGCGAAGTCTGCCGAGGACTGAGGGAATGACACAATAAATCAATCAAATTATTACATTACTAATACTTCTGTATGACTTTTCCATTGGAAAGAGGCATAAGACTGTACTATTTAGAGGCTGCAGTAAACAGTGCTAGAACTACAGTATACCTGTGCAGGAGGAGCTGTCGGGGTGACAACAGGAGCCTGGACAGAAGGAGCTGCAGAGGGTGTCATTAAGTCTCCAGTCAAAAAGTCCAGAGCTTCACCGGTTTCCATGGTGGGCTGCAGGAAGAGGAGAGGAGGGGAAATTATGAGGAGCTGATTCAAATATATTCAAGGGACACCAATTAAGGTGAAATATGGGTGAGATTTTTGCCTCATCAATGCAAATAACAGCACATATAATACATACATTATATAATATATATAATATCTGAATCTAGTCCCAGGCTCACCTCAGGTTTAGGAGCGGGCAGTTTTTTGAGTTCATCCTCTTTGAACCTGTATTCTGGAGGAAGTGTGTCCTCCCTCTCTCCCACAAGCACACCCTTCTCCTTCTTCAATTTGTTCTCCTACGAAAAGGAAAGGAAACGTGAAAAAGACCTGATGGGAACATAAGTGCACACCGCTTTTTTGCTTGCTCGCCTAAAACACATGAACTTAGATACACACATGGAAATAAAGAAAAGAAGAGCATTGTGGCTGCCTGGGTCTTTACAATAATTTGATCCATAGGCTCCATATATATGTTCCATATATATGTAATACTGATTTCATACTGCATGATAAGGCAACAAAAATGTAGATGAAACAAACAGCAAGGTGTGTTTAGTGTGTGTGTGTGTGTGTGTGTGTGTGTGTGTGTGTGTGTGTGTGTGTGTGTGTGTGTGTGTGTGTGTGTGTGTGTGTCCCATACCGAGACAATGTCCTCAGGTCTGAGTTTGGGCAGTTCAGGTTTTGGTTCATCTGCAGCCAACGAGTCGCCAAGAGCACTGAGAGCATCCAGAGACATAGGGTCGTCCTGAGGAGAAAACAGCAGAGGAGGTATATAATTCAGCTGTGACAGTTTTATTAGGATACTTAGGCTAGTCTTCAAAAAATAAGGGAAATATGTTGAAAGACACAAGGCAAGAGGGGGTAAACTAAAATGTCAAATTTACCTTTCTGGCAAGAAATTTTTAAACAATACTATAATATGTAGTAAAATGCAGTTTTGTATCCTCACAGTTGAGTTCTTAGTCTTGGGTTTTGCTTGTCGTGGCAGTGCAGGGAGGACATCTACAGAGCTCGGTTGCTCCAGGGGACAAACCATTTTCTGCAGAGCACAGGGACATACAGTCGGACATGTAGACTGAAAGAAGTCATGGGAAGGTAGAGAACACACACACACACACACACACACACACACACACACACACACACACACACACACACACACACACACACACACACACACACACACACACACACACACACACTTACCTGTGGTGTCTTCTTGGTAGAAGGAGGGGCAGGTGCATGAACTCCAGAAGCTTTAGCTGGAGCCACAAAATCTCCAGCAAGTAAATCCAGAGCTGACAAATCCTCTACTTTAGACTGTAAAAGAGAGACAACAGCTTTCAGCGATATAGTGTTTAAACTGTCATAATGATATTTTCAAAAATCAGAACATCTAGTACAACATTTTGGTAAATACACTTACGCACATCTCCCTATATTCTTAATATATGTTAAATATACAACATTGAGATGGACAATGACATTGGGCACATTATAAATGTCCATCACCACTGCTTCTGTATACATCTTTCATCTGCTGGATTGCTTCATCTGTACCTCACCCCTGCAGATTTTGGTTACAGGTACCAGTTTAAGATCCACAGTGTACCTGTGCAGCAGGAGCCGAGGGGGTGACAACAGGAGCCTGGACAGAAGGAGCTGCGGAGGAGGTCATCAAGTCTCCAGTCAAAATGTCTAGAGCTTCACCAGTGCCCATGGTGGGCTGCAGGAAGAGGAACGGAGAGAGTTACAGATTAAACAATATCATGTAGTTAGTTTTTACATTTGTATGCTATTTGTAGGAGCTAAAAACAGTATAATAGTATGATAATAAGTTGTAGGGTTTTTATTTTTCACCTCAGGTTTAGGAGCGGGCAGTTTTTTGAGTTCATCCTCTTTGAACCTGTATTCTGGAGGAAGTGTGTCCTCCCTCTCTCCCACAAGCACACCCTTCTCCTTATTGAGTTTGTCCTCCTATAAAAAGAACAATAGGTGTTCCTGTGAGGAGCTGAAACACAAATGCTACAGATATCCCAACAGCAGGAGGCTTCCTGCAGTCTAACTCTGAGTGTGTGTGCTCCTACCGAGACGATGTCCTCAGGTCTGAGTTTGGGGAGTTCAGGCTTTGGTTTGTCTGCTGCCAATGTGTCACCAAGAGCACTGAGAGCATCCAGAGACATGTCGCCCTGAGGAGAGGACAGGAGAATGTGCTCTACTTATCACACATTCATAGTTTAATCATTGAAATAAAATGTCTCTCCCACATGAAAGAGGGAAACAGGGTGACCTGGGGGGACAGGATTGAGAAGAAACACAAGAGAGGGAATGAAAAGCTGGGGGAAAATAATCTGTAAGTTTCCTTTGTCTCACCAGATCAGCCTTGGCATCCTTTCCGGTAGCTTTTTTATCAGCAGGAAGAGCAGGAAACATAGCCACAGGGGGGGCTGCAGAGGATTCAACTTTCTACACCAGACAACAGAAATGACATTAAACTTTATATTAATGGCCTGACTGAATCAAGGTTTGCACTCTGGATCATGATCACAAAACAATAAAATAAATTCTTATCAAATAAATGTTCCTCTGCTCTTTTTAGTGTAACCAAAGAGCTTCTTTAAAATACCTTACAACATCTGTATTATCTAAGAGGAGTCACTTCAATTAATTAATCTGAATACTAACTCTGAATACTGAATATACAGGGTTGGAACCCAAAGTGGACCCCCAAGTATCCCAACATCTACTTGATAGTTTGGCACAACATTCATGGTTCCCAGATGAAGTATCTTTATGACTTTGGCAATCTCTTAACTTTTCCTCTAGCACCACCATGTGGTTGCTGTTTTGTGTGAAATGTCTCAACAACTATTGGATTTACTGAGCATGTTAGCATGCTAATGTTAGCATTTAGCTCCAAGACCCCATGTGCCAAAGTACAGCATCCCAGAGCTGCTGGCATGGCTGTGACTCTTATAACCTATTTGTTTTTGGCAAGTCTGCATGCTGTTTTGGTTGCTAGCAGTTCCTGTTCACACCTGGATTACTTTGATACTTTAGAAAAAGTCTGAATCTGATGATTACAAGTCAAAATCTGAAGTCATAAGAAGCACTTTTTTCAACAATGTTTAAATGAATTATAGACTTTTATCCCCAACGTACACTGGAAAGTTTGTGTATGATGTATATGTGTTTCAATGTGATAATCAGATGCAGTTTGTACCTTAAGAGCGCATTATCTGTTCATATTTGTTTAAATCACTATAAAAAGATATTAATTCAGTTACATATCTGTGCACCTAACGTGGGACAGCATTTATCAACATTAGCAGAGATTCAACCAGCAAAGAGCCACTTGTAGGGAAGGTTTGGCTTGTTGTACCTTGACTGTAGTAGCAGAAAGTCCAGCCTCCAGAGAGAAATCATCAGGGACTTTCCCCATCTTGGCTTTTGTATCAGCAGGAGGAACCACAGGGGCTTTCTACAACAACCGACAGAGACAGCGTTTGAAGAGATAATGGATACCGTGTCTCTGCTTGTATTAGTTTGTCTGCTGCTACCAGTGATAGATCCACTTTGTACCTGTGCAGGGGGAGCCTGGACAGCAGGAGCTGCTGAGGAGGTCATCAAGTCCCCAGTCAAAATGTCCAGAGCCTCACCAGTGCCCATAGTGGGCTACAGGAGGAAGGTCGTGGAGGAAAGAGAGAGAAATATTTTGTATATCAATATTATGCAGTTGTTAATGTGTTTATATTACAGTAATACTTTTAGAGCTTTTTATTTGTCCCAGTCTCACCTCAGGTTTAGGAGCGGGCAGTTTTTTGAGTTTGTCCTCTTTGAACCTGTATTCTGGAGGAAGTGTGTCCTCCCTCTCTCCTACAAGCACACCCTTATCCTTATTGAGTTTGTCCTCCTATAAAAAGAACAATAGGTGGACATAATGAATTTCTGCAGTCTAACACTGTGAACTTTGCGCCAGTAAGTGTGTGCGCTCCTACCGAGACGATGTCCTCAGGTCTGAGTTTGGGGAGTTCAGGCTTTGGTTTGTCTGCTGCCAACGTGTCACCAAGAGCACTGAGAGCATCCAGAGACATGTCGCCCTGATGAGAGGACAGGAGAATGTGTGCACAAGATAATAATTTACTAATGTGTCACATACTGTTCCACTGCAGAAATAAGAAGAGAAGTTAGGACAGGGGTAAAGTATTTTGTCTGCTCTTGTAAAACTCACGTCATCAGTCTTGGGCTTGGTCTCCACTTTGGTATCCAGTCCAGCCATCACAGAGAAACTGTCGGGGGCCTTCTCCATCTTGGCTTTTTTATCAGCAGGAGGACACACGGCCACAAGGGGGGCTCCTTTCTACAACAGCAAACAGACACAACATTCAACTTGGAATTACTGTATTTTTGACCAAATAGAAACCAAAAGTCATCTGAAAAACAACATATCTGAGCACCTTTGCTGAAACAAAGTGTTTCTATAAATTATAAAGACAGAGATCTGAGCAGCCAAGGGTGAGAAAATTAGGTGTAAGCTTGCTGTACCTTGGTGGAAGCAGAGGGAAGTCCAGCCTCCAGAGAGAAATCATCAGAGACTTTCTCCATCTTGGCTTTTTTATCAGCAGGAGGAGCAGGACACACAGTTTTCTGCAACAGAGACACATATTTTGACCTTTAAATTCAGTTATTTGCCACTATAATAACACTGCAGATACTTGAAAGTTTTACTTTACCTTTACAGGAGGCGGTGCAAAGTTAGAAGGACCAGCGGATGAGGCACTGATGCTGCCAACATGGTCCTTTTTCTATATATTTCATATAGAAAAAAACAAGATTGGAATTAGTCAGACTTCTAAAAAAGCACAAAGCTATGCCTTCACTTTCATACAGGCATTTAAGTGTACATTCAGGGCTGATACAGTCTACAACAGACATGCCAAACTGGGATTTTTAAGTATGGACCACTTTAGATATGGTATGTGAGATGTGAAGGTGAAGGAGGGACTAGCAGCTGAGTGCTACATGCTCAAAGACTGTCTGACCTCTTGCTTGTTGGGTGCAGCCGGAGCAGAAGACATGAAACCGGCGGTGAGAGAATCCAGGGCCTCGTCCGTGCTCAGTGGTTTCTGAGATGAAACACAGGGCATGCATCACCACCAGATAAACAACCTCTTTTTAAACCAATAATCTGATTAAGAATTACTATTATTAGAATTACTCATAATCCTCCACTAGATGGCATGTCTAACCAAGTAAAAAGCAAAACAAAAGGGCAGAATAATGTAAACCAGACCATGTACCAACAGTGAAGGAAAAGTACAGACACACCCTTCACATTCCACAGACAAAATAAATCACAAATAAACTTTTTTTAACACGCATTTCACACATAAAAACACTTTGATTTAGCAGAAATGTGATAAACATCAAAACTAAAAACACAAAACTCACACTGGAGGACAGTATCAGGGTGGAAACAGATCAAGGGACACAGAACCAAAGAAGACTCTTGCGAGACAACATGACAAAGTGGGAGTAGGCTATGATGCAAATGTGGGTGTGCTGATGATGAGTAAATAGTACCCTACATATGGGTGGATATCAAAGTGTGCAGCAAATGTATCAGTGTGTGTGTGTGTCTCTATGTGGTCGTACACATATATTTACATGAGGGTTTGGGTTCGATCGGACAAGAACCAACGAGCTCGGGCAGAGAAGGTGGGTCCCATGCAGTGCAATGCAACATTCCCCACTCTAGAGGAGCCAGGAGATCAAGCAGTGGAAACACTGCTTCCTGGATGTGGGTGTAATGTGAATGTGTGCTCATTTGCTTACACATGCTGGAAAAAGTTTAGTGAGTTTAAAGAGTGAGTTTCAGAATTAGCAGACTGCAGGAGGTTGTGACTCCACTAAATATGAACACTTACAGGGACATCCTTGGGTTTAACATCTGCAGGAACTGGTCCCTAGAAAAAAACAGACTCATTTTAGTCTGGATGAAAACAAGCTAAAAGCTGAAATCATTCCTAAGGCTCAGTTCACTCAAATTACAAAAAGAATCCCTGACATATTCTCTCATTTTCCCACGCAGGTAGTTTTGGTTTTATGTGTCCAGAGTTTGAGGTATGTCTCTCTAGGGTTAAGTATCATTTTAAATGTTTTAATATTTGTGTCAATGTGAACAACTTTGACTAAAAATTTATAAAATTATAATGATCCGATCAAATAATAATTAAATAGATTATGACTCTGACCAGGCATTTGGATGCCAGCTTAAGGTACTTGACAGTCTTTTGATTCAAAAACATATGAAGTCTCATTCATCTCTGCCCAAATACAATGGAGGTGAATGGAGTTTTTCTCTGCATTGAAAAATGGCTTTATGAAACTTTCCCATTACTCTAGATAACAAAAATCTGACTGTGAACAGACTGTGGACACTTTCCGTAGGAAGTAGTTCCTACTGAGGAAATAGTCCCTATAAAAACATGCTGATGGTGAGGTCTGTCAATGAGACACGAAACACACTCTGCTGACAGAGTGGCAAAGCAAATGAATGAATCAGAAGAAGTGATGAAGAGGAGAAGACTGGAGAGAACTGACCATGTCTTTAAATCTGTAGCCTGGAGGCAGCGTGTCGTCTCTTTCTCCACACTTCTGACCCCTCTCAGAGGTGATGGCATGCTGTGACACATGCAACACACACGGTTACCCACAGCAGATCCATGCTGCAGCTCAGTGCAATCAATTACCTGCTCAGTTTATATCCACACAAACACACACTGTGGCTAGGCTTTACCTCTACGACCTCTGGCCCGGTGTATACAGGCTGTGGGGGTGCGACGGAATCAGCGGGTGGAAGTATGCTTGCCAGGGCATCAAATGGATCCACCGCCGGTGCCTGAACATGCAACACAACTCAGCACACTAGAGCAAGCAACATGCCTTTCAAAGCAAACTCATACTGCTTCAGGAAGTCTTACCTCTTTGGCTCCTTTAGTTGCTGTTGGAGGAACCTCCACCTGCACCTGCAACACAGATCCAGAATCAGTACACAGACTTCCACAACATGAAATAAAACACAAAATACAGACATTGTTAGTGTGGTAGGTTTTACATGATGTGTGATTGATAATTCTCTTAAAACCCAGAGACGTTTCCCCAAAATTGACACTACTAAAAAGGTTCACCAGAAAATACTCAACATATCATATCCATTAATATTTTACAGACAGGAAATACACAGGAGGAAAGTATTAGACAGCCTCCACCCAAGTTGGTTTCAGAATCGTCTACCTTCGTTTGTGTCGGTTTAGCTTCTTTCTTCCCCTGCACAGACACACTTCCAGCCACAGCTGGCTTTGATGTTATAGCAGGATCAACTTTAGGCACATCAGCTTTGAGTGTAGTGATGGGAATGGCACTCTAAAATACAACGAATTTGAATCTATTATAGGCCAAGTACACGTCAAGTCCGTTGTGCATGCACAAAGTCGGTGATATGCCCAAAGAAGCAAATAAAACACAGGAAAGTGAGCGACCCAGCAAAAGAAAGGCTCCACCAACTTGATGACAGTCATGAGTTTAGAAGCAGGTGTTGTGCAATGATTAGCGCGAGAAGACAAACCAACAGACTGTAGTTCTCTCTGCTCCATTTCTTTCCTCTGGCTGACTCAGATTGCTGACGTACGAGTGGTGTTGCAAGTGAACAGGTGTGCTCTGCTTGCAAATACAATAATGAGCATAGGCATGCTGAGCAAAGGGCTGCAGAGAACAAAAGCCCTTCACACTTCCCAACTGGTAATCTCCATAGTAGAAAGAGAGGGTAAAAGCAGTGAGGAGTTTGTAAAGACACTGCCAAAGCGAGAAATGTTCAATGCAAGAATCTGAGTGTTCTCAGGTAAGAAAGCACAACCTGATAAGACACAAAGAAAAGAAAGAAAGCAATAAATCCATGACCAGCCGCAAACCTCTCAAAGTACACCTTGAGGTAGTCATGAAGGCAGTAAAGAGTCTGAGAAGCTTGTAGCAGTCGAGTCTACCTTGACTGTGTCTTTGGGTGACTCTTTGGCTTTGGTCACAGCAGTGGTTGCTGCTGTACCAGTGGCTGCAGCTGCTCCAGCAGCAGGAGAAGGAACTGTAGCTGTGACTTTGACTTGGGAGACAGGTGCAGTCTACAAACATGTAGTCAAATGATTACTCAAAAACACAAGGATGAAAGACTCACAGCACTTCTAAAGCCAGTATACATATCGACAAGAGATGTGAATATTATGTGAGAATATTTTAACAGTGTTAGTGAAAATAGTGGAGGAGAAAATGTACAATGATCTCTGGTCAGATCTCCCACTGAAGTCCATCTAAAGCAAAATAAAATGTGCTGGGTTATTAAGCATTCTGGTCTACTGAGACTAATCTGACCATTGATCATTGTGTCTGGTTAAATGCCGGTGCAGTGCTTTGTATAGTTAACAGTACGGCTGACCTTTTTCTAAACATTCCAAATTGATTTTCAGCCTCCCAGGCAGCTTTACAAGGGCCATGAAGTTACTCTAACAACAGACAATACAACAAGCAAACATAGGGGTTCATGTTGAATTTCAATCACGTGAATTTGGTTGTTTCATTACCAAAGTGTTCTTAAGCAGCTGACACACACATCATGTATGTTGGAGTTTCCCACAAGCACATGGCTTAACCAATAAGGAAGCATTTTTACATCAGGCTCTGTTCACAAGACATTACAACCTGACAGCAAAACAACCTTAATAAAAAGTTGATGACATTTTTAAGTACCTGCATGCTGCCCAGTTGGTAGAAAACCAATCAAATTTTCAGGAAAATGATCAGCAGTATCGTAAAAATACACAAGAATAAAGCATCAACAAGAGCCTCCATCATGATGACACCATTACCTTTGACATCTCTTTAGGACCACCCCTCGACCCAGCTGATGTCATGTCAACAACAGTACCCCCAGCAGACGACATGTCAATAACAGTAGCACCTGCCAGCGTAGTGTTAGTCTATAAATCAAGGAGCATGAGAAGGTTATTCATGAATTCAGCTCCATAGTTTGTGGTGAGCATTCATCCCAAGCATGATGACATGAGAGCTCATTGTGATGATTCTGATGCATGTGAAAGGTCATGACCTTTGAATGGGTGAGCCAGAGAGACAACGCATAAAGAGACGTTTTGCAAGATGAAAAGAAGATGAAGTCAGTGAAGAAAAGACTTGAGCTGCCTCATGATGAGTAGTACACACTCAGTATTTAGAAGGAAGCAGTGATTCATGTTAGACCTCAACAACCAAAAGCCCCTTCCACTTTTATTTAGGCATCCAGAGTCTGTCTACCTCTGGTTGGGCTTTAGGTGCCACTCTTCCAGCATTCCCAACTGATACGCTTCCTCCTGCTGTGACACCACTTCCTGCGGCTCCGCCTGTTGTTGTGGAAACCCCCCCAGGCTTTGTAGCCATGGTGGATCCTGATGATGCCCTCTGCAACGCACCAGGTATGGAAAAGTTGATCATATACCTTCATTACAGCTCACTGCATTCCTGCATTGTCTGTAGATGTTTGTTTGTGGCAATAGCTAATGTATTTATTGTTTAATGACAAAATTATATGAATTGTTAAAGGGGCAATCCACAGATATTACACACTAAGATCAGTGTACTTGTCATGAGGAGCAATACAACTGTGAAAACAGTTGTTATAATTCTTTACTCTGTAGGGAGCTGAGAAATAACCCTAATGACATCACCATGATGTCATCTGGTTTATTTCAGCTTGGGCTTGTACATTACTAAACTGAAGGCCTCTAATTAACGGATTATATTGGTAGCATTATGGGAAACGTATTCACCTTTTGCATTTCAGCAACAAGGAAGGAACTTCCTGTCTACATCAGAAGCGGGAATGTGACACATTGAGTGGCCATGACCTTCCAAAATGTATTTCTTCATCCAAACCAGAGTCACAGTGGAGACTTATCTGGTTGGTTACACTGTTGCACATTGTCACGTTTTCCATGACAAGCCGACCAAGTAAAAGTTATTTTTGTGGTACTTTCCACCACAGAAACATCGAGCTTCTGCTACAACACACAGAAAGCTGATTGAGCTATTTGTAAGCTAGTTAACGCCAAACATAATGCAGAAGATCATCTGTGGTGGATGTGGTGGTGTCAGGCCTCATAACCTCTTCTAAAATGTGCTCCCAACTTTGTGAAATGTTTGAACATTTTATTTGTATTTACTATAGATGAAACCAATGAAACAAGTAGGTGGGCCACATAAGGCCAATAGCTAACTCAAGAGTAAAAGTGAGGATATCTTGGAAGTGCAGTACTAAATCACTTGAGTACTCCTTTAAGTTGAAGTTAAGACAGTCTTCTGCAACATGAGCAGCTGAACCCCACTATGGCAAAGTCAACCAAGAGGTATGAAAAAAGGCACCAAGGTCAGCTGCTAACAAGAGTCACTTATAGCTGAAGGTTAATGACTGAGTAATACAAGCTTAGTCTACAAATAACTCTGTACATTTAAAAGTATAATTCTTTACTATTTTAAATATTGGTGCACGTATTTGGTGCACACAGCTACTTTCACTGTTCAGATATCCCACCAAAGCCTTTGTCTATAAGCCAGACACCAAAATAGACAATGTCAAAGCCCAGTTGTTGAAGAGCAAGTGAAAACACTTAAGGCTGGCCCTGTTGATTTGTCCTGTCAAAACTCTGACTCTCTCTCTGGTAAAAAGAAGTTAAAACAGTTAGGCTATGGACAGGGAAAGCCCTGTGTGCCAAAATGAGGTTGAAGACATTGTTTCAAGATAAAAACTAGTCAGTAACAGACTTTCAGTACTTTCACTGGAGTGAAATAGACGAGTTTATTCAAACAAAGTGGACATACTTTAGTCAAGCACAGTTTATGCTTAATACCTAAAAAGTCTTTGTTGAAGTCTGCCAAGTGTTTAGCAACAGACATCATGCTGCTATGTTATCAAGATCCTAAAAATAAAGCTGGCATGTAGTCGTGAACAATATAATTGCTTTATAATTCCTGAGTTCTAGATTAACAAACTGGTAAATTATTTTAACATGTCCACTTACTAAAGTTCTAGTTAAACAAACTTTTAAGACCTATCATAACATCTGAATATTACTCCAATCAGCAACAAATCTAACTGAACATGAGAATCATTTTGATCTATTGTTTGAGAGCAGCATTAACGGATTAAACTACTTCCCCCTGACTGAAAAACTGGGTGTGACCTCTGTTCTGCTTGAATAGAAAGGAAGGAAGTCCCTAATCAGAGGACACTGCTAGGCATTCCCTCACTTTACTTAAAACTATTAAAAACATAAATACAGCTGCAGGAAAGGAAATACTACACTATAATGGGCAGGTCAGGGGTCATGAGAGATAACAATCAACTCGTAGAACATAGGAAGCTGACAAAAGAGTTCCGTCTGAGAAAGCGGATGGGAGAGAAAAGGTTAAAGGCTATCAAAGAGAAATGTTTAATACCTCAAACTGTGCAGGCTTCACGGTGGAGACCTGAGCTGCCGGTTTGGGTGTGGGCTGGCTCGGCTGCGACTACAGAGAGAAAGAGACAAAAATGGAGAGAGAAAGAGAGACAGACGTTAAGCATGTGCAGTGAAAAAATCTAACTAGAAAACACAATAATCATTTCAAGATTCATACAGAGCAACATCTTAGTTTCACAAGAGCTGACATTTGTGGAAAGCTGAACATTCCATGCAGCGCATTTCTGGACGGGGAGGAAAACAACTTTGAACTGTACTTTTTTTTTTTTACAGACAGGTAAAGACAGAACACATCTGCTACAGCGCAGTAATGTGCTGCCGCAAAAAGGACAAACACATCCATCACGCAGCAGTCAGAGGTGGTTGATTCAAGCTCTACATTCCAGACTGATGGGTGCGACTGTGTGACAGCAGAGCAAAGAGGCCGAGTATTATTGTTGTCTGTGGTCGCCACAACAACAACAGCAATACTGACAATGAATGTGGGATTCACAAGTTACTGTTCAGCTGACATCACACAGTGTGAAATTAACACTGAGATAATTTCCATCAAAGAAATCGAGCCTTTGATTCCACAGCTTAGGGCCTGGATGCAGCCATTTTTTCTCACACACATGTAAATGGCAGTGATGTCTGTGATGTGCAGTACTTCCTCCATCCACAGTGTCATTGGTGCTGTCATGTTAGATTTCCTCTCAATAGGATCTGAATTTAGTCTGACCACAATTAAAAACCTTATTTAATGTGCATAAAGAGAAGACCTGACCAGAGCAGAAATTAAACACTAGTCACATGTGTACATGTATCTTCCCTTACAAAAAGGTTTTATTAAGTCTTGTTCATGCTTTAATAAAAGAATCATACAAGGTTACGTACCGTCTTTTGCTATGTCAGTGTCCTGTTTTGTCTTTTATCTACCACATTTCCCCACGTTTTAGTTTATAGATCCATTCCAACTGTTTTATTGTTAGTTTTTGAATCAATATACCACCACTATTTCCATCTGTAACACAAAGCCCATCACTTCTACTGTAGCTGGAGATGTTCTACACACTCTGCTATTAGGAAAGGTTTATCTGCTTATCTGACAATGCCAGTAAAGGAAATGTTGCAGCTCGGTTTCAGTCCTATCACACAATAAACAGCAGGCTTTCAATAACAACTTTTATGTTGTTCCAGCATCATTTCAGTGACAATATACACACACGCACACACACAGTTCAGTCACAGTGAGTGAGGCTGTAAATGTTTCTTTCAGAAGTTAATGGGCAGAGTTTGAATTTTGGGGTTATTTCTTCAATCACAGTTTGGTCTATCTGACCTTATTTCTGTCCTAGAATTTAGTGAGAGTCACTTGGAAACAGATTAAGTATCCATATCCATGGCCATATCCTGGTCATGTTCCCTCACAGCACAGAAGCATTGCACCAGCTGACAGACAGTGGTCAGTTTGTTAAATCTCATGTGTAACTATATAAAACTGTATAAAGTTAGTGTGTTCACCACATTCAGGGACCATGGTTGACAAACTTCTCTTGTCTGTCTAAAGGAATGTCCTCACTGGCTCATAACAATTACAGAAGGAATTCCATTTGTATTACTGTAAATGATTCTTTACAGTGTAACGGAGGGAGGGATACTACTATAAGACGGGATAGCATATCCATAATACATGGAAACACTATAAAAATAAACAAATTACTCAACTGTACGGAGCACATTTTAGAACAGAAGAATAAACAAGGACAAACTATGTAAACTATGTTTACTATTTAAAAATGTATCTGTGGCATTTCTGTAGTGCAAATTTTCTGACTTTTCACTTTGTGTGTAGAGTTAAGGCCACATATACACCAGGACAGATATGTTTAAAATAAACTTGGCCAAATGTTCAATATACCGGACTGTATTACAAACTTCTTATCGTGGGAAGAATTAAGTTACTTAACAAGTTTAAGCAATAGCAATAAATAGGAAATTCAAATCCTAAACATATCCCTTTAAATTATCTGCTCTGCTCTACTTGTATAGAAGGATACCTGCATTTCTAGTTTGGCAGAAGCGTTCAAACAGTGTACTATGTAGTATACTCCTTTTTGAAGGCAGCCATGCCTGCAGTTGAGTGTTTTTAAGGCAGGGACCGGTCTCCAGGTGGAGCCCAGTATGCCTCAGAGCCCAGCCCAGTTCTTCCAGGTGGTGTGAATAAAGAGCACAGAGCCTCCACCCCACAGACACCAGGTCAGAATTACTGCAGTTAGTTTCACATCCAGCCCAAGCCATTGTGTGCTGTGGTATCATTGTACAGTCAGAGCCAACCAAGCCAGTTAGTGAACATTACTCTGTTTCTGCATCTGTTCAGATAATGTAGAGTCTAACAATTATCATTATTCCCCATCTGAGCACCTTGTTAGCCTCTGAGTGAGTTAACCTGTCAAGCCAGCTGTGCATTAGACTGAGCTGGCGCAATGGAGAGTAAAGTCAGGCCGTATGTGTGTGAATGACTACAGCAAGTGAAGGGAAACACAGACAAACAGGAGGAGGGAGGAGACACAGAGAGACAGAGCACAGCATGAATTGCACCACTCTGAACCATCTGCAATCTGGCACCTCAGATTTAGAAATGATTGCAGCACAGCACTGATAGCGATTGCCTTACATGCTGGTGTTACATTTAACACAAAGAAGGTCACAACGCAGCTCAGTGTCAGCATGTGAATCACAAACAGTGTTTACTCTAGCTTTGCATCAACTGTAAGGTAGCTTTGAGGCTCAAATGTTTCCTCAAACCCTCAATATTTATTTATAAAATCTCAATCTACGTAAAGACAGAGTGTGAACATCACTGACATTAATAAAAGTCAAATTAACAACAATATGGGTGCTGTCCTATTTTACTTCCTCTTTTGACATAGTTTTCTGAGAAGAGAATATATAGAAATCATATTATAAATTGAATGACTGAAGAGGCAACATGATGCTGTTTGGAGAGAGAATATGGAGGAAGTGGCACAAGAGAGGACGTGAGGTCACAGGCAGCCAGGGCACCCCCTTGACAACGGGGAAGTACTGTATTGTTGCTCCAGTTGCTGCAGCAAATATTGATTGTTACCCAGTTACCACACAAAAACAACTGAATAGCTGAAAAAGGAAGCGGCTAAGCTAACTAGCTGCCAGCTGTGGCAGCTATTGCAAGAAAATTAATAAGCATATTTTCCCAAAATGTCAAGCTATTTATTTAACATACTTCATACATTCATGTTGTTGTCTTAATACAAACAGCTACACCAGAAATAAAATAACATAAGGGTAATAAAGATAAATATATAATATATACACATGTACATTATATCTCACATATTAGATATATCCATAAGAAAATTCTGATTTAGGAAGTAAAGCAATATCTAATAAATAAACACAAGGAGGACTCTCTTTTATATCAAACTTTAGGTACTTAACTGTTATTTAGGACACAATTCGGTTGCTGCTAAAGTAGTACTAAGGTTTGATGCCTTCCACTGGATACAACAGTGACTTAATTTAAAGAAACACTGAAAAAGTAGCTTTAATCTCATTTGATTAAAGGGATTGTGGTCACTGCAGTGTTCATCTTCTTGTCAAAACATGATGAGACATGATGTCTCATCAGAAATAAATAAATTATGCCTCAGCGATGAAAGAAATGACATCATGCTCTATACTTTCCCTTAAAGACATGCACGTCAAAGACTACGTCCGAACAAAATTCAGAAGCCTCCGTACAGTTTAAACATGTTGGTTGAAATCAAAGGAAGTTGGCCAAGAGGATTTAGTGACTCATTTGCCTGATCTCGAGGTAAAGTGCATTGTGCTCTTTAACCCCTCATACACATGCTCACTTACTAGAGGTCAAAACAGATGCATGTATTACTGCATAAATTAGCATCAATGTGCAATTGCATTACCAAAGAGATCTATTTTGAAAGCGTGCTTCAAAACTGCACACAAACAAAACAGTCTTCCCCCAGTCTGACATCAGAACAATTACACAATTGGACAAAAGTCCACCAGCAGCCCTTCCTTCACTGTATGTGATGCCAGTTAACAAAGACAGGTGAGGCAGCATATACAGCGAACCATCCAAATACTTCTCCAAAAGGCAAACAATCACAGCCCATCAAGGGAAACAATGCACTATATAACAGACAGGGTGGGAACTATAAGGTATGTGTACAAGATCACTCAGATAAAACAAATCACTAATACAAAAAACATGCCAGAGTAGAGGTATCTTTCCTGTACCGTGCTCTTAAATAAAATATGATATTATCTTGGTGGCTTTCTTAAATTTGTAAAAAATAAAAATAAAAAAGATCTTTGGATACATAGAGCTATCAACAACAATTACTGCTCCTGAACTCAATGTGTTTCATATGTACGACTAAACTAGAGCAGATGTTTCCTCTGTCGATAGACTGAACTCTCGGTGCTCACCTGAGACCCACCCAAACCCTTTGCTAGCTTTCTGTCTGTTATGACTCCAAACTGCAACATTCCTACATCATGCCTCCTGTACAGCAGACCACTCTGTACTTATAGTTATCACACTTTTCAGCCACTGACACACTGCAAACATGCTGTTCAAGCTGGTTTTGGCACATGCCTCACACATTGTGCCATTAAGTGGCACAGGTGACCTGACCTGAATTCAAAAGTGGAGCCTTATGGGGTTAGTGTGCATTCATCCTCTACCCACTGAACTAAAAACAGCTGGCTCTGCCTCGAGGTTAGCCTCTGTTATGTATTTTCTACCCATACTACAAAGGACAAGAAATTGGTATGTGCTGCACAGTACAGTATGAACTCTACTCTAACTCAAATGTTAAATAATGTAACACAAGTAGCCATACAAGAACTTTGTCTCAATCAGGAAGTCTAACATTGGATACATTTGGATTTAAATAAGGAAAAATATGATAACAGAACAAACAACCCAGCAAATCTCACCAAAACGTCCATGCCTCTGTTCAATACTTACTTCAACAGACAAATTTAGATCTGTAACAAAGA